AGACTACATTAAGAAAGACATCATTTTGGGACATTTCAAAATGAATAAAAACGTAGGATCAAAGTAAAAGTAGCGACGCACCATGAAAATTAGCTTATAAGCTTCAGCTAAATTGAATATTCCAGAAATCCATGATAAACGCTGTGTTACCCAATACACTGAGAATTAAAACTAGTTTTAATCAACACTCCCAGCGGAATTCGAACCATGGCAGTAAAGCGTGTAATCTCAACACGTTAACAACTACGCCACATTAGCACAAGTGCCCTTGGGTCATAGAGCAGATGTGAATTTTCGAGGAAAGCCAGACATTTTCCTACATCACATTCTTTGGTTGGATTGTCGATGAATAAAAGTTATATTTGCTATGACAATCGACTACTAGCCTTATTTGAAAATTTATACGTGCCCTGTTACCCAAGGTCACTCGCAGTTATGTGGCGTAATGGTAAATGTGTAGCGATTAACGCTGCATTGTTATGATTCGACTCAGGTGAGGGTTTTGATAATACCTAGACGAGGCCGTAACTGCCTTCCACATCAGCCTTAAGGGGAACAAGTTTTGAGAAAGCAAGGCTGCGTGAAATTCAATGGAGACGTCAGCTCTACTCACAGCATTGTGGTAAAATTCAACTACCAGTCCCTAATACCTTAAACGAAACGGGGTGTATACATCTGATATAAGTGATTTACTGTTAGTCTTGAAATTACTTGTAAACGAAAAGCAAATCATGGAATGCCTCATTAAGATAGCAAAGAGAGATATAGGAGGTATGAGCTCTGCCGGCTACCTTATTTGGTGATTTCTCTTAAATAATGGCTTCTGGTTTTGATGATGGCCGTCACATGACGGGCAAAAGCTCAGCCTGGAGTTATCGGAGTGGTAGGACAGTGATCCGAGGTCTTCTTCGCACAATTCAACAGACAAAGTCCAAGGCAAACTTCCTCGGTATCCAGAAAGGAAAATTTAAGGATCCCCTTCACCCGCCTCCCAAACGAAATGAAGGTTGTGTGAGTATCAATCTAATAAGAGAGTCTTCGAAACCCAGCTTCTCTTCATATCAAAATGGCTTAGCCTATCTCCCCCGAAACAAGCAAAGGTGTCTCGTAGACTGCGCCAGCGAAACGGTTGTAGCACGAGAATCTGCCGTCGTCTTCCGATGAGATCGATCTAGGAACCAAGCACTTTCATTTGAAATTGAAGTTTCTACAATTAAGAACATTAGTACTGGGACAATTTTGCTCAAACGCCACGTCCGATTCGGTTTCCAATGGATCCAAGTTATGAATTACTTCAACCGAGCCATTCAAACTAAATGAAAGTTCTAACAAAAAGAACTTGATATTGAAGGTATGAAGACCAAGATGGTGTGACCTTTTGTGTAGTAGTTGTCTCCTTTCGTTGTATAGAGGTTGTTTGATCTTGTTTTCGCAACTTGGTCATATTTGTAGGAACACTTAGAGGAACGCACCTTGTCCGGAGTCCATTGTATGCATAATCCTTTCCAAAGTCGGACCGTAGTACATTCCCAGACGTTTTGCCGGCATCGTCAGGGAGTCTCGCCATTCTTAGCACCACACAACAACTCGTCAAAGAGACAAGTGAAGCCGATCCCTTGACCAAACGTGTGCTAAACAGTTATGGTATCTCCTCTTCTGCCCTGGCCTATTCACATTTCCTATATCCTCCTATCATGCCTTCCCTGTCACAATTTTTATCGCGCTTATTTTTAATGTAGTGTGGTGTGCGCCTTTGAGCGGCATTGATGAAAACCCTTTACACTCCACGTTGTCTTTCTCACCCCTTCACCCTTGTGTTGGGAATGTTGATCAGAGTCTGCTATATTGTTACGCAGTCTTCCTTCGCTAGGTCTTATCACAGTCTCTCTTCTGTCCCTTAAGATCCGAATGAACTCTCCCTGGTTCACGGATTTCACTCGATCCTTGCCACCCCATCTGTGTTACTCGAGGCGTTATTCGCCCTCTGCTACGTCTGGGTGACTAATTCGAGGCTCAAGCCTCTGAATAAGTCTCATGGTCAAGCCTCTTCTACATGGACCACGTCTTTGGCAAAGCCTACTGTCAGCCAACTACATCCAGTCTCTACTGAATCTATCCTGTTTTTATCCGTAATACCAAGTCTATGACTTGCGATGTCTTAGTCTCTTGCGTGCTAACCCTCAAATGTTGTGGTACTGCTTGCTTTGAATAGGTTCAATGTTGAACCACAACATTTGTGGGTTGGCAAACAAAGTATCCTAGGCGATCGGAACACCTAACAAATAGTAAGGAAGGATCTAACCATGAAGCTAAACAGACACTGAAGAATATGCTAAGGGAAATGCATAATAATGCCGGAATTGATAGATTGATGATGAAATCATAAATCACAAATGACGTAAAACCACCGACAGCCTACGGACTACCGAAGATAAACAAGAAAGGAAACCCACCAAGACTAATATTCAACAATAAGCATGGAAGAATACACAAACAACGCATCAAGTAGCAGAGATGGGGTAGCAGGGGTTGAGTGAAATACTTGAACCAGGGAAATAGCAGACTGATTCTACGGGGCAAGAGGAAGAATCTGATAAGAGCTAGGGAAGGAGGCTGCGTAACACTATGGAAGAATTTGATCAACATTCCCAGCACAAGAGTGAAGGGGGTGAAAAAGCTAGCGTGGAGTGTGGAGGGTTCTTATGAATGCCGCTCAAAGGAGCACACCACACTACATCGAAATAGGCACGGTAAAAATTATACAGTAAAGGCGTGATAGGAGGATATAGAAAATGTGAATAGCCCATGGCAGAAGGAGGTACCACAACATTTTAGCACACGTTTGGTCAAAGGATCGGCTTCACTTGTCTCTTTGACGAGTTGTTGTGTGGTGCTACGAATGACGAGACTCACTGACGATGCTGACTACGATGCCGGCGAAACGTCTGGTAATGTACCACGTCCACAATCCGACTTTGTAAATGATTATGCATACAATGGACTCCTGACAAGGTGGGTTCCTCTAAGTCTTCCTACCAATATGACCGAGTCGCAAAAACAAGGTCAAACAATTTACAAAATTGTTCGTATATTCTTTATTTATATAACTACATGATCACACTATTGCGGCTCCAATTCAAACAAGATATTGGATGATATATAAAGCGGAAGCAGTACGAACTAGACATAAAAGGAAAAAAGAATAATAAAGAAAAAATAGTTTCTTGCAATAAAGAAGATACATACCGTGGTAAAGGATTCGGAGAAGACTTGCTGAAACTCCCATTTTCGTTGGGATGGACTGCAAATTTAAATTCAAGATAAAATATGAGACTAATAGAAATACAAGAAAACAAATAGAATGTAAGAACTAGAACTCAAAATGCTTCGCAAAATAATCCCGGCAATGTGAGTCTAATTTATGAGTGAAAACCTTAACTTTTCGGGATAATTTAAGGTCTTTCAAGACAAGCAACATCAATCGCCGAAAACAGTACCTTTTGTTAATAGTTTTGGTACAAATAATAGTTTAAAAGTGAAAAACAATATTATCGAAAATATGAAGACCAAGAAGTTGTGGCCTCTGGCATGGTCGCAGTCAACTTACAATTTAAAGAAGTGGGTTGACCTCATTGTCTCAACTTGGTCTTGTTGCCAGAGCGACTTAGTAGAACGCACCTAGTCCGAAGTCGTCTGCCATAGTAGCCGTCATGATTCCCAGCATCGGACAATGGACTTGGTACATTCTTAAACGTTTGGTCGGAATCGTAGTTGGCATAATCTGTAAGTTTTGCCTTTATCCGCACCAAGTAACAAACTTGTAAGAGAGACAAGTGAAGTCAATCCCTCAACAAACGTTCTGCCGAAAACGGTTATACTATCACTCCTCTTTCTTTCATGGCCTATCTATCTACTCTTTACCCTCTTATACCACTGCCGCCCTATCACAACTTATCACTTGTTTACATTCCATTCGTCAAAATGTGTGCCCTTTTGTGACAAATCTTGTGTGGCCTTATCACAGTTGCTATTCCCGCCCACCCCTCTCTTTAAATCAGCTGATCCGGCTCAGGTTTCCAATCCCGATCCTCTCATTGTCCCGTAGATCCGTTCGTTATCTTTATGGTTGACAGATTTCCCTCAGTTCCAGTCTTAGTGTGCATTTTACTCTAGGAGCTATTTCTCAAGCCCCTAGAAGCACGTACACTGCCGCTTCACTGAGCAGAGCGCCTAAGCTCTGATTC